ATTCTGAGTTTCCTCAGTAAAGCTTACTATTTTTGTGAAGTTGTTCTCTCAGAACAGAAGTCCCCAAACAGAGCTACCTTTGTAATTGCTTAGACAATGTGATAGCTCTCAACAATCTACTGAACAGAGCTATGAAGACCTAAAACTGGCCGGGCACAGTGGTTCATGCCTGCAATCCTATCACTCCCTAGGTGGGAGGATTGCTTGAGCCCAGGAGTTCAAGACCAGCCTGGGTAACATAGTGTGACCTCGTCTCTACAAAAAAATCAAAAAATTAGCTGGGAGTTGTGGCATACCTCTAGTCCCTGCTACTTGGGAAACTGAGGCAGGAGGATAGCCTGAGCCCAGGAGGCAAAACCCCCAAATTAAAAAAAAATTTTTTAAGTTTAAAGCATAGAAAAAAAGGGCAACTTAGGTCTGAAGTACACAAGGATATTCATTGGGCATATCCTTAACACAGGCAATATCCATGGCAGAAATTATTCCAATTTGAAAAAAAGCAAAATTAACATTTTTGTAAGATTTTTTCTACACTGGGAAAAAAATTAGAGATGTCATACATCACAACTGGTGTGCTGATAAAATAAAATAGAGTCCAGTGTCTAATGAAGATGAATGCAACATTTCTATTACTATAAACTTCTGAATTTCTCATATCACTAGATCAGCTTTGTTTTGTTTTGTTTTGTTTTGTTTTTGAGTTGGAGTCTCACTCTGTCACCCATACTGGAGTGCAGTGGCACACTCCCGGTCACCACAGGCTCGACCTGCTGGGCTCCGGCGATCCTTCTACTTCAGCCTTCCAAGTAGCTGGAACTACAGGCGCACGCTACTATGCCCGGCTAAGATTTTGATTTATTGTAGAGATGAGGTCTCGCCAAGTTGCCCAGGTGGGTCTCAAACTCGCAGGCTCAGGCAATCCACTCACCTCAGCCTCCCAAAGCGCAGGATTACAGGTTGAGCCACCGAACCTGGCTTAGATCAGCTTTTATTAAAGAATTAAAATTGAGAGAAACTGGAAATTAACTGAAGAGGAACAAGACTTAAAAGTAAGAAGAAGAATTTGTCTTATATAAAATTTTGATGTAAATGTTCTATAAAATTGTGATCACATTTAATGTTGGGGTTAAAGACTATGTGACATCATTTCATAACTTTACTGAGTATTTTGAGCCAATTTAACTTTTAAATGTCAGATATTGTCCAGGTTGTCTGTTTTACTTCTCTTGAAAAACATGCAGTATGTTTTATTTTTTGGAGTCAGAGTTTCATCCTGTTGTCCAAGTGGAGTACAGTGGCCTGCTACTCACAGTCACCACAGCCTCAAACTGCCGGGCTCAGGCAATCCTTCCACCTCAGCCTCCCAAGTAGCTGGGACTACAGGTATACACCACTATGCCCAGCTAATATTTGATTTATTGTAGAGATGAGGTCTCACCAAGTTGCCCAGGCTGGTCTTGAACCTGTGGGCTCAAGCAATCCTGTCACCTCTGCCTCCCAAAGTCCTAGGATGACAGGCATGAGCCACCATGCCCAGTTGAAAAATGTGGCATGTTTTAAAATCAAAACTTTATGTGTGTATGTCTTAGTAAATTCCATATAGTTACTGGCATTTTTTTTTTCTCACTTTCAATTCTCAGAATATGCTGAGAAAACCAGATATTCATGTTGGGGTATGCCCAAGGATTCCTTCACCTTAAGCCTTGACTTCTTGGCCAAAACCAGGCTCTGCCACACATTTGCCCTGGAAAGCCACAGCCCACAACTGTCCAGATTTTTTGGCATGAAATGCACTTTCTGGAGTCTCCAGGAAGAAAGTTCATCCAATCCTTGGATCATGAGTTCACAGGGGCACACGTGAGGCTGTCTTTGCTGTCACCCATGAGTTCCATTCCCCAAGGCCAACCACCCTATCCCATTTTCTCCCATGTTGTGAGTTCTTTATGTGCTTATGAAGACAAGCCCAAGAGTGTGACATCGTATTTCCCACAGAAACACAAGATGGACGCACTTTTCCACTGCGCTTTCATGAAAGCTCTAGGAAGTGAGTGTGACATGAAGTCATTCCTTCCGCCTCGGCAGACAGATGGGTAGAGACATTCCAGTGTGTTTCCAGCCTTTTGTCTTGGGAGTGTTTTTTGGCATTTCCTTCAGGAAATGGGAGGTTGTGACCTAAGATTTCCTTAGTGAACACACTTCTGTTTCCCACAATTAACGTTACCCAGAAATGACATCTACTCTACTGGGTTTATCTTCACGTCCCAACTGTGTCCTGTGCATATTCAATGACCCTTGAAGGCACAGATTCTCAAAGTAACAATAGGACTGTAGGGCCAAACACACCAAAATACTTCAGCCCTCCGAAAGAAGACAATAACGTCGAAACACGAAGGAACTGTAACGGTGACTCTGAGATGCGTGCAAAGTCCCCTGCTTTCCCGTCGCAGTTAGAGAAATGAACGCCAGGCAATGTTAAGACTTTCAGATACTAGAGACTGAAAGTTTCCAGATAAAAGGTGCCATACTACTTAGCCCACTGTCTATTAGCTGTTTCATTTTTTTTAAACTGATGTCTTTTATTTTTTTCAAGCACCATTGATGCACTGAATAACCATACATTACTAATACATGATTATCACTGTGCTAGGTTTTGGAGTTGCAAAGATGGGTAAGAAGTGATAACTTTCCTCTGGGAATAAGTTGTCTACAGACAGGGATAAATAGGTAAACAAACAGCTGTAATTATCTACTAATAATTTCATTGGTATTTATACATTCATATGTTCAGAAGATTGACTGGGAGAAGCCAAGACAGTGTCCTCAGAGAAATAAAGGGGTTTGGCCATCTCTCCCATCCCCGTATCTCCATGTCCCCAGCATGTTGGCGGAAGGTCAAGAATGAACACTTTCTCCATGGGTTCGAGCGAATCATTGAGTCTTATCATTTAAAATAGGTTTACAATCACATTGTGATATATAATTCCTTTAAAAACTCACACAATCATGGCTCACCACAACCTCAGCTTCTTGGGCTCAGAATGTTCCCAACTCAGCCTCCTGAGTAGCTGGAATTACAGGTGCTTGCTACCATGCTTGGCTAATTTGTTTTGTAGATTTTTTGTTTGTTTGTTTGTCTGTCTGTTTGTATTTTGTTTTGTAGAGACAAGATCTTGCTATGTTGCACAGGCTTTTTTTTAAAAACAGAGATAAGGTCTCACTATGTTGCCCAACCTATTTCAAACTCGGGTTCAAGCAATCTTCCCGCCTCAGCCTCCCAGAGGGCTCAGATTACAGGAGTGAGCCACCGGTGCCCAGCAGGACCAAATTATTGTATGTAATTTAGTTTGGCTTGAATGCAATTTAAAAGTCAAACATTTGTATTTCCTTGCCAATGTGGTATTCAGAAGGTCGGTGGTTTTTATCTCAGTCTTTACTACTCTTCAATGTTGACTCATTGAAGTTTCTCTTCCTGAAAAAGATAGAGTGGTTTTTAAACAAACCACATTTTTTTACACCCTAGTTAAGGTAAAAATCCTTTAAAGAATAACAAAAATGTACCTTTAATTTTGATTCCAAAAAGCTCCATAGTCAAATAGAATGCCTCAATCATTATTTTTAAAAATTCTCTTCACAAAGAGATCTTTAAAAAACAATCAGTTTATTAATGTTTAAAAGTTGATAAAGCTATGTGCAAAATGACCCCACAAAAGTCAGAAACCTATTAAATACTTTAAAAAAAAAACAAGACATTTCTTAGTTTAATTGCACTGAAAAACATACTAAAGAGACAGTAATATATTTTTATCCTTTGTCATATTATACATATCTTCAATTACTATCTAAGGAAAAGCTGAACTGAAGGATTCCGGGTGTTCCATATCAGTTAAAGTAATGCTTTTAAGGGCACAAGAGGATGGTATTTTCTCAAGAAATACACATTCAACGGTGTTAACACAGGTTAGAAAAATTCAATACAATGACCTTGGCTGAAACAAATACATTCAAGAATCATGAAAAGTCCTTTTGACAGAACAAAAGACAACCCTCCTGTCGCCTGAAATGACTCACACCACACTCTGCAATAAACATCAACAAAAGTGCCAAACACAGGTGTTAGCCTAACTCAGGAAGAGATCTCCCTTGGTCTGTGGGAGTTAACTCGCTAGTTTTCCTTAACCTCGCCAGTTTCCTTGTCTTGCTGGCCTCTCTCCTATGACACTAAGGGTCTTGGCCAACGTCCCTCAGATAAAGTGACCTTCCTGAGGCAAATGTCAGTGGACATGAAAGTGTAACACGTTTCGTGGAAAAGAAAAGGGACCTCAACCGAACTCCAAAAAGACACGGCTCCTGCCTGCATGGAAACTTTGGCCTCAGCAAAGGAAACCGCCTTGGGCCTCCGAGCCTCCTCTCCGCCTCGCCTCACCTGCTCAGGACAACCTGCTCGCTAGGGATGACCAAGACATGGGGCTGGCCACCCCTGGGCTCTGACGGATGCCAGGTGCTTAAAAGATAGAGAGAAAGGAGTCTGAGGAGGGCCTGGAAGGGCAGGGAGGGTGAGCCCTGCGGAGAGTCCATAAGGAAGCAGAAGTGCACACACTCGCTCGGGGGCTGAAACGATAAGGGAAGAGAAGGTCTTCTCGCCAAGCCTCGGAGCAGAGATGCTGTCCCACGGGGACGCTGGCCTTTGAGGAGGGGCCCGAGGAACCTTTCGGGAGCTTGACAATGCTAGACCTTTGGCTCACTGCAGAATCAAAGCTCGGGGTGGTGGGGGGCAGTGGTGAGGGGGAAGGAAATATATTCCAGGCCGGGCCGATCTCCACCCTTCCCAGGGCATTGTTCACAGGAGCTAACCCTGCCCCTCCACCCCCGACCCCACCAGGCCCTTCGCCCTCTGGCGCCTCCCTAGGGAGGCCCAATTTTTTTTTCTTTTTCTCTCCAGTCGCCGGGGGTTGGAGGAGGGGCGGTGGGCCCCCCGCGTAGGAGCGCGCTCCCGGTGGGCCTTAGGAGGAAGAGTTGACGTTCCCCGACGACACCACGGTCTCCGGGCCGTCCCCGTCGTCCTTCTGCGGGTGGGAGGAGTTGTCCGACTTGCTGCGGCTGAACTCCACGCCCGCCACGATGGGGCGCTTGAACTTGGCCGCGGGGTCCGCGCCCGGGCAGCGGCAGCAGGACAGCAGGCGCACGAAGGCGCGGCGCATCTCCTTGTTGGTCAGGGTGTAGATGACCGGGTTGGTGCCCGAGTTGAGCACCGCCAGCACCAGGAAGTACTCGGCGCGGAAGAGGATGTCGCAGCTCTTGACCTTGCAGCCCACGTCCAGCAGGAGGAGGATGAACAGCGGCGCCCAGCAGGCGATGAAGGCGCTCAGCACGATGATGACGGTCTTGAGCAGGGCCAGCGACTTCTCGGAGCTGCGGCTGGCCTTGGACGCGCTCTTGCGGAACGTCAGGCGGCGGCTGCGCGTCCGCACCAGCGCGTAGATGCGGCAGTAGAGCACCACGATGGCCAGCAGGAGCAGCGTGAACACGGTGGTGCAGAAGAGGATATAGTGCTTGTGGTAGAGCGGCAGCACCGTGGAGCAGCCGGCCAGCGCGCCCAGGCAGTTCCAGCCCATGATGGGCAGGCCGCCCAGCGCCAGCGACACCACCCAGCAGCCGCTGATGAGCAGGAACGAGCGGGAGCTGTTGCTGCCGTTGTGCAGCTTCATCTTCAGCATGGTGATGTAGCGCTCGATGGCGATGGCCAGGAGGCTGAACACGGAGGCCGACAGCGCCACGAACATGCTGCCCTCGCGCAGGAACCACTGCGCCGGGGTCAGCTTGTAGGTGGTGGCCCCGGACAGGAGCAGGTTGGCGGTGTAGGCCACGCCCGCCAGCAGGTCCGACAGGGCCAGGTTGCCGATGAAGTAGTACATGGGCCGGTGGAACTTCTTGGTCCTCCAGATGGTCAGCAGGACGAAGACGTTCTCCAGGATGATGCCGCAGCAGATGAGGATGAACACCACCGACGTCAGGCGCAGGCCGTGCTCCTTGTCGGTGCCCAGGTTCAGCTTGCCGGTGTAGTTGTAATGCCGCACGATGAGGTCGTAGTTGACGTAGTCGGAGACCGAGCCGCGGGGGGCCCTGACCGGCGAGGGGCCGGTGGGGCCCATGGCTTCGGCCCCTCGCGGGAGCCCCAGGCGGCGCTTCTCCGGGCGGACGCTAGAGGGCGAGCGAGGGCGCCGTCTGTCGCCGCGGGGGCGGCCTC